CAATACTTGGCTGATACACAGCGTGCAGGGCAAAGGCGTGGCTGATAAACAGCCTAGAGGGCAAAGGCTTGGCAGATACATAGCCTACAGGTTAATACTTGGCTGATACACAGCCTACAGGCCAAAGGCTTGGCTGATAAACAGCCTACAGGGCAATACTTGGCTGATAAACAGCGTACAGGTCAATACTTGGCTGATACACAGCGTGCAGGGCAAAGACGTGGCTGATAAACAGCCTACAGGGCAACGGCTTGGCTGATACATAGCCTACAGGTTAATACTTGGCTGATACACAGCCTACAAGCCAATACTTTGTGATACACAGCGTGCAGGGCAAAGGCGTGGCTGATAAACAGCCTACATGTCAATACTTGGCTGATACACAGCCTACAGGGCAAAGGCGTGGCTGAAACACAGCCTACAGGTCAATACTTGGCTGATACACAGCCTACAGGGCAATACTTGGCTGATACACAGCCTACAAGCCAATACTTTGTGATACACTGCGTGCAGGGCAAAGGCGTGGCTGATAAACAGCCTACATGTCAATACTTGGCTGATACACAGCCTACAGGGCAAAGGCGTGGCTGATACACAGCCTACAGGTCAATACTTGGCTGATACACAGCATACAGGGCAATACTTGGCTGATACACAGCCTACAGGGCAAAGGCGTGGCTGATACACAGCCTACAGGTCAATACTTTGTGATACACAGCGTCCAGGGCAAAGGCGTGACTGATATACAGCCTACAGGCCAATACTTTGCTGATACACAGCCTACAGAGCAAAGGTGTGGCTGATATACAGCCTACAGGCAAAAGCCTTGGCTGAAACATAGCCTACAGGGTAAAGGCGCGGCTGATACACAGCCCACAGGGCAAAGGCGTGGCTGATACACAGCCTACAGGGTAAAGGCGTGACTGATACACAGCCTACAGGGTAAAGGTGTGTCTGATACACAGCCTACAGGGCAAAGGCGTGGCTGATACACAGCCTACAGGGTAAAGGCGTGACTGATACACAGCCTACATGCCAAAGGCGTGGCTGATACACAGCCTACAGGGTAAAGGCGTGACTGATACACAGCCTACAGGCCAAAGGCGTGGCTGATACACAGCCCACAGGGCAAAGGCGTGCCTGATACACAGCCTACAGGGTAAAGGCGTGGCTGATACACAGCCAACATGCCAAAGGCATGGCTGATACACAGCCTACAGGGTAAAGGCGTGACTGATACACAGCCTACAAGCCAAAGCCTTGGCTGATACATAGCCTACAGGTCAATTCGTGGCTGATACACAGCCTACATGCCAAAGGCGTGGCTGATACACAGCCTACAGGGTAAAGGCGTGACTGATACACAGCCTACAGGCCAAAGGCGTGAATGATACACAGCCCACAGGGCAAAGGCGCGGCTGATACACAGCCCACAGGGCAAAGGCGCGGCTGATACACAGCCCACATGCCAAAGGCGTGGCTGATACACAGCCTACAGGCCAAAGGCATGGCTGATACACAGCCTACAGGGTAAAGGCGTGACTGATACACAGCCTACAGGCCAAAGGCGTGGCTGATACACAGCCCACAAGGCAAAGCCTTGGTTGATACATAGCCTACAGGTCAATTCGTGGCTGATATACAGCCTACATGCCAAAGGCGTGACTGATACACAGCCTACAGGGTAAAGGCGTGACTGATACACAGCCTACAGGCCAAAGGCGTGAATGATACACAGCCCACAGGGCAAAGGCGCGGCTGATACACAGCCCACATGCCAAAGGCGTGACTGATACACAGCCTACAGGGTAAAGGCGTGGCTGATACACAGCCTACAGGCCAAAGGCATGGCTGATACACAGCCTACAGGGTAAAGGCGTGACTGATACACAGCCTACATGCCAAAGGCGTGGCTGATACACAGCCTACAGGGTAAAGGCGTGACTGATACACAGCCTACCGGCCAAAGGCGTGGCTGATACACAGCCCACAAGGCAAAGGCGCGGCTGATACACAGCCCACATGCCAAAGGCGTGGCTGATACGCAGCCTACAGGGTAAAGGCGTGACTGATACACAGCCTACAGGCCAAAGGCGTGGCTGATACACAGCCACAAATCATGATTTGACTGACACTTAACCTCCAGGTTTAGGCATAGACTGATATGGGGTAAGGCTTGGCTGACATACGGACGACACAAGGTCTAATGTTTGTGGTAAGGCTGATGCAGCCTATAAGTGTAATATTACTGGGTAAGGTTGAACCAAAATGGAAGTTATTAGAACGATGATGGTCACAGTCATAAAATTACAATAAATTATCTGTTTAAATCCCCTTCCTTAACTGTTTCGCCTGTTACACTATATCTTTGTGACCTAGTTAACGAACGCGGAATCCCTCTGGTTTTCTTACTACACACACAGATGAAGTAAAGCAGGGGACTTTCCATGTTTTCTATTTTAAGATATCCGGCCTTTTATTGCACAGAAGCGTTACATGTGAAAGGGAGTGGGCGATTTGCAAGAAGAGGTAAGTTTGATTCTCTCAGTATGAAAATTGACCGGAAATGTTATTTGTTTGATAATATTGATTTATTTACATAAACAGTGCATTTTATTAACGTAACGGAGTGGCGCCACGATATGACAACATATTTCAACCTAGAAAACATGATATGTACATTTTATTTACAATAATTGTTGAAACAGAATTCGGATATCCTATACCTGGAGGGTTAATCGATACCTGTCCTTCATGGTTGATAACACCGAGGAATATAAACATTTTAACTTGATATAGAGGTTGAAACATCCAGCTATTGAAACATCCAGCTATTGAAACGTCTCTGTTGACTGCATAGTGTACTTACTTGCCATCAATCAGATTGTAATGAAAATGTGAACCAACAGATTTATACAAATATTGAGGTTAACAACTGTGCATATTGCATTACAAGTTTTATGTAATTTTATAAATCATTAGGTATTTTACACAATAGCTAATTTCGGAATGTAAAGTCATCCCGATTTACATGTAGATATATATCTATGTACTTTGACTTATATAAATGTTATTACAAACATTCTGGTATTCCGCTTTAACTTAATGCTGTATCTCGTGAACGGGTAATGTGTTTAAAGTCAGGTACATATCGGGACAAGGTTACAATATCAGTAGACAGTTGAGCTATGAGTAATACCATATATATAGTTTAGGCATATTTATCACGCGTGGGCGTGCGTCAATAAAACAGCGTCAGAAAGGAGTGTCTCTACAGTCCAATGTACACACACTTGTCTTCCTGACTTGGCACCACACGTACTTGTAGCTACCAGTATTACATGGCGCTTTCGGGCCATTATGTCTCGTATAGAAGCATTCTTAATTAGTGTGCAGATAACACCAACATATAATATAAGTAAATCCAGCCATTATCTTGAACTTTATTTTCATGTCATAGAAAAATGCGAGAGTTTACCCTAAATAAACTACATTGAAACTGGGCAAAATGAAACCCCGCACCATTTCGTTTTAAAACTGAAGGCACAAGCGAAGTAATTTCATTTGTTTAAGGGAGGGGGAAAAGTTACCAATCACAGGCTGATTCGCTCCTTTTGAAGATTACAAAGGAGCGACACACACCATACTGTTATGCGACCTCGAGATTCGTTTGATGAACATCAAAGGATCGAGCTAGTCTTTTCGTGTTGTCCAAAAGGTGTCGCACCTGGAACCTTCAGCTTTCCACGGCAATAGGTGTAGAGAGCTAAAGTGGTTACCCCTGGAGAATGCAGTATGAGAAAATATCGCTTACAGACAGTTATAAAATGTCAGTTTCAGTCCTCTAAAATTCCACTATTTTTTTTACTATAAGTTTTCTTAAGTATTAAGACCATCTCTCAATTAAGACCGGTTTTTAAAAAAGTCCAAAATTTCATTCATCTTTAAATGACGTAAATAAGTTTTGATGAAGTCGACCTCTTCATATTGAGCTGAAACTGATATGATAAAACACCGCCCTTCATATTGAGCTGAAACTGATATGATATAACACCGCCCTTCATTATTGAGCTGAAACTGATATGATAAAACACCGCCCTTCATATTGAGCTGAAACTGATATGATAAAACACCGCCCTTCATATTGAGCTGAAACTGATATGATATAACACCGCCCTTCATTATTGAACTGAAACTGATATGATATAACACCGCCCTTCATATTGAGCTGAAACTGATATGATAAAACACCGCCCTTCATATTGAGCTGAAACTGATATGATATAACACCGCCCTTCATTATTGAGCTGAAACTGATATGTTATGATATAACACCGCCCTTCATTATTGAACTGAAACTGATATGTTATGATATAACACCGCCCTTCATTATTGAACTGAAACTGATATGTTATGATATAACACCGCCCTTCATTATTGAGCTGAAACTGATATGTTATGATATAACACCGCCCTTCATTATTGAGCTGAAACTGATATGATATAACACCGCCCTTCATTATTGAGCTAAAACTGATATGTTATGATATAACACCGCCCTTCATTATTGAGCTGAAACTGATATGTTATGATATAACACCGCCCTTCATTATTGAGCTGAAACTGGTATGTTATGATGAGATAACCCTGTAAATATATAACACAAACACAAACTATAACGATGAAATCCCTCCTCATCAATGATTGCTAAAATTAATTTTGATGAAACTCCTGTATCATTAGGCTCAAACAAATACGTTTTGATGAAATCCCCCACGTAACTGAACTCAAACAAATATGTGTTATAGAATGGTTCTTTTCGGAAAGGGCTCAGTCGAAAACATGGTCGAGTCGGTGCAGGACAAACAAATCCGTAACTGTGTATGAAAATTTGAAGTGGTAATTTCCTCTGGAACTTAATAATGCTCATATCATGCTGTTATCATTGAGGATGACACAATTTCTCTTTCAGATTTTGCAACTGACAGAAGTGTTGCTAGTGTGAACTAGATCTCCAACCTGTATCAATGGCCTGCTCAGGTTGTCCGCTCATCGGTCAGTCCTCCCTCACTAAATACAGGAACTTCAAGGTGCTTCCCGCTGGCAAGTGCTACCATGTCAGCTTTCTCCACGATCATTCAATACGTTGTAAAGCGTGGGTTCATACCGCGATCACCGAACTGAGCAAAGAGGGGTTCAAGTGCTTCGACCTCAATCGTGATGGTATCCCAAAGCTCTCGCTTCAAAAACAAAAAATCAATGCGTTTAAAAGATCGAAAACAGTAATAGTTCTGCTTACAGAAAAGTGTTTAAAGAATAGAACATTTCAGCGAGATTTGGATATTTTGACGGCAGAGGATATATTTCATTGTGGTGAGAATTTATATGAGAAGATTTTACCACTTTGGTTGGACATCGTTGAACTCCCCGATTCGTTGTCATACGTGCAGGCACTGGATGCTAGCTCGTCGCGCGACATATGGTGGGATAGACTAGTTCTTGCAATAGATTTTGAAAGGATGGATTACTCCGGTAATGAACCCGACGACATAACTGCATTTAGTGAAGAATTTGAAAAAATGACAAATAAATTAAAGTTACTTGGTAGACGTCAGATTTCAAATTTGTTACACAAACCGGTGGTTCTTGAATTGTACCACTTTCTGGCGCAATGCGCTGATGAACGTGTGCTCCTGACCGTGATGGAATCCAACGGCGTTTATATAATAGACAGGGGTGTGTACCCTGTCGGACTTCGGTGCTCGTTGGAGTCTTGTGACCAATATATGACTATTGACCAACTGACCTACATGTATAAGCGCGATGCACCAGATGGGGCATGGATGCACCTTGACATAGGTCATGGTAAATGGGAAAGAATTGAAATAAACTTGTGCATGCTGTGGGATCTTCCTGGCACTTGTCATACGGAAACCGTATTCGTAAAGTTACCACAGGTGCGAGATATGGTGTTTGTTGTACACGCGGACTTCAAACAACAAGGTGTATCAGATTTACAAACTTGTGGACAATGTCGATTTTCCCGTAGGGAAACACAATGCTTGGAAAACAGTCAGGAGGCATGTCTTACCCTCATCTTGGAGAAGCAATTAGGAAAGAAGCACTATGCGTACTACTTTGTACCATTTTCTGGGACTGATACAAACGCATTGGAAGAGGCCAAACAGATACTGAATTTGTAATATACATCACCCATGTGATCACCCTTTTCCCCAAAACTTGCAGCTGATGAACAGACCACATTACTGTGTTGTATGATGTCGTTTCTTTTGTTAAATTTATGCACGACATTATCATTTAATTACAAACACAGTTTGGACTGTGTTTTTACTCAATATGAGCAATGGTTAACAATTTCAGTAAACCATCGTTGCGCAGATGGAAATTTATAGTGGACCCCAGTAAATATGATAATTTGTTTCTACAATAACCGATTTGATTTAACTTTAACACCTTGTTGGCGAACTTTTCAAATTTCTATCCTCATGTAAATATTTTTTTAAAAATTTATGTGCGCTGGTATGTATTTAAGTTGTGTTGATATGCCTGACGATTAGCGACATTTTGTTTCTTCCTCGATTACCCGAGGCAATAGTCTCGTAAAAAGTACGACACAACTCAAGGAGCCTGCTACAGACCTGTGCTTCTGAATGACAACAAATAATGTAATATGAATTCTATCCTTTTGTCACCATTGGTAAACTGCAAATTTGACCTATTGGTCTTAAATGATAAAAAACTTAACTTTATATAGATATCATGTTCCTATCCCTATATGACTTGGCTGAAGCACTTTCTCCCTTAAATATAACTCTGCCTTAATTGGCGTAAGTACCGGAACAAAAAACGTAGCGGCTTCACAAACGGAAATATCATATTAACACGAACAGCTACCCAACAAGCTGTATGATAAGCATGACGATTTAAATTTCCTATTTTCCCAGGGTTTTCCCATAATATCAGCTATTCAAATTAATTTATCCAGAATGCTCTCGGGTTCTTTTTTCAATCATGTTGATAATGTTTTCAAATCTGATTTCTTAAATACTTTATACCGTGAAAGTGTAGTGTAGATAAGGAATCCAAGTACGCAAGTGACATTACAGGTGGTACACAGGTGACGGTATTACAGGTGGTACACAGTTGGCAGTATTACAGGTGGTACACAGGTGGCAGTATTACAGGTGGTACATAGATGACAGTATTACAGGTGGTACACAGGTGGCAGTATTACAGGTGGTACACAGGTGGCAGTATTACAGGTGGAACACAGGTGACCGTTTAACAGTTGGTACACTGGTGGCTGTATTACAGGTGGTACATAGGTGACAGTATTACAGGTGGTACACAGGTGACGGTATTACAGGTGGTACACAGGTGGCAGTATTACAGGTGGTACACAGGTGGTAGTATTACAGGTGGAACACATGTGACCGTATTACAGTTGGTACACTGGTGACAGTATTACAGGTGGTACACAGGTGGCAGTATTACAGGTGGTACACAGGTGGCAGTATTACAGGTGGAACACATGTGACCGTATTACATTTGGTACACTGGTGGCAGTATTACAGGTGGTACACAGGTGACAGGATCACAGGTGGAACACATGTGACCGTTTTACAGTTGGTACATTGGTGGCAGTATTACAGGTGGTACATAGATGACAGTATTACAGGTGGTTCACAGGTGGCAGTATTACAGGTGGTACACAGGTGGCAGTATTACAGGTGGAACACATGTGACCGTATTACAGTTGGTACACTGGTGACAGTATTACAGGTGGTACACAGGTGGCAGTATTACAGGTGGAACACATGTGACCGTATTACATTTGGTACACTGGTGGCAGTATTACAGGTGGTACACAGGTGACAGGATCACAGGTGGAACACATGTGACCGTTTTACAGTTGGTACATTGGTGGCAGTATTACAGGTGGTACATAGATGACAGTATTACAGGTGGTACACAGGTGACCATATCACAGGTGGTACACAGGTGGCAGTATTACAGGTGGTACACAGGTGGCAGTATTACAGGTGGAACACAGGTGACCGTTTTACAGTTGGTACACTGGTGGCAGTATTACAGGTGGTACACAGGTGGCAGTATTACAGGTGGTACACAGGTGGCAGTATTACAGTTGGAACACATGTGACCGTATTACAGTTGGTACACTGGTGACAGTATTACAGGTGGTACACAGGTGGCAGTATTACAGGTGGAATACAGGTGACCGTTTTACAGTTGGTACACTGGTGGCAGTATTACAGGTGTTACACAGGTGACAGTATTACAGGTGGTACACAGGTGGCAGTATTACAGGTGGTACACAGGTGGCAGTATTACAGGTGGAACACATGTGATCGTATTACAGTTGGTACACTGGTGGCAGTATTACAGGTGGTACACAGGTGATAGGATCACAGGTGGAACACATGTGACCGTTTTACAGTTGGTACATTGGTGGCAGTATTACAGGTGGTACATAGATGACAGTATTACAGGTGGTACACAGGTGACCGTATTACAGGTGGAACACAAATGAGAATATTACAGGTGGAACACTCGGTCATACCTGTACTGTCTGTTGCGTGCAAAAGTAGGTCAATTTTCCCTACATGTCGACCTGTGACCTACAAATATATCTCAAAGGAAAATGAAAAAAAATACTGATCTCTGTCTTCTACAATACTAGTCAGTGAAACTTCACATACTGTAAGGGGTTCACTTCGGTGCTTCAAAAAGGATGAAACAGATTTGAAGTTCTAAATCGCATAGAATATTTTTGTTATTTGACAATTGTTACGTTACGGAATTAACGTACAGCAAATAAAACCCAACAGCTAGGTTAAAATACAACAATTTAATGACAACAAATAAATTCTATGCAGTAAAATTACAAATATTGTGATGGTGTACAGAGCTTGGTACTATTTAATCAAAAGTCAGAACTTGTCTTTCCGTGGAAATTAGTCCAACTCCAGAAGAATTCACAATAGATTGTCCAGAAAACAGGGTAACCGAAGACTAATCCCAGAATGGTTTCCTCGCTGGGTATACATAAGTGCAAGTCCACAAGGCACTATCACTAAAAAATCACTGCAAAAGTCCACACTTCACAGACTGAAGTCTCAAAAAACTCGCTCAAGGCATTAATACTTCAAAAAGGCTGCTCAGGCTCAGTTCCATCATGTTTATATTCACTTTAAAGTTTCTAGACTGTTCTTTTCTAGATGATTCTAGACTAGCAGGTACCTAGCTTGTTTACGAGTGTCTCTAGAATTTTCCGGAGACACACAGGTCATTCTAGTAACCGAGCTTTCTAGATTTAGAAACTTCCGGAGACACACAGGTCATTCTAGTATCCGAGCTTTCTAGATTTAGAAACTTCCGGAGACACACAGGTCATTCTAGTATCCGAGCTTTCTAGATTTAGAAACTTCCGGAGACACACAGGTCATTCTAGTATCCGAGCTTTCTAGAAAAATCTGCCTAGCACTTTCTACACATATTGTGTCAAATAATCATAAACAGTTTATTTATGTAAACAATCAATGTGATATAATGCATGTAAACACAGCACATCTGAATTTAGATTAATATACAACATTTATACATAACACAATTAATTTGCTACTCTTCAACCAAGTTTTTCTTTGAGAGGAATTACTTTGATTTAACCATATATAGTCGATACCTGTATCACCTGACTTTAAAACATCCAACCACTTAATTCCTTAAACACTGCTTGCATGCTACATGTGCATCAGATTATGTAATATACCAGATAGTTTTCCTCTACAAGTAATAAATCTATGTCAAAATCTATTAATTCTCACTTTTAGATCATAAATCAGGGGAAATCTTCCAATTTTCAATTAACCATATGAAATGCAGTGTTTTTTTCACACTAAACATACGTTTAAAAATACCCCTAAGTTATAGAATTAACATCCACTTCTTGTGTTCGTTTTGAAAATACCGCAATATTTGTTTTGGTAGAGTTAACAGTTAATCACCACTTTATCACGGTACGATTCGCCATTATCTAATGCGGTTTGCAGTCCTTCTGGGGATTCTGATAGAACAGCTGTGCCGTAGAACATAATGAGTAATTTTACAAAACTGACAATGTACACTCGACGCAATTCGCCCTCATGTGATAATCAATTTATATTATTTTCATCAAGATATTATAATACAGTGAAAATATAAAAGATGTCATGTCACACATCACCTGTACATACACGACATTTTGTATAAAACATTTCATGTGTTTCCCAGTAATATTACGGACTTTTGGTCGTACTTCAAATCGACGGAGGCACGACATAGTTTTTGTGTGTGTTTATAAATATAGAATATGAAGTACACGTACGACAAAAATAATATCCGTAGTCGTATGTGCCTTCTAAGTGTACGCGTCATCTATAAATAACTTTTTAACATGTGTTTTGAAAAGCCACCAACCTTCGCCCAGGACCTGGCGACTGCCCCACGTTGGGCTCGAACCCGCGACCTAGAGATGGCGGGCTAAAGTTAAAGACACTCAAAGACCTTTCTTTTTAAAAGTTATGATTTAATGTTCCAGCAATAGGTTGTTCCTCACAGCGCAAACAAGAATTAAAAAGGTCATTTAAAGAATTAAAAAATCACAGATGCGTATCACAGGTCTAGACAGATAAAAAATCACAGATGCGTATCACAGGTCTAGACAGATAAAAAATCACAGATGCGTATCACAGGTCTAGACAGATAAAAAATCACAGATGCGTATCACAGGTCTATACAGATAAAAAATCACAGATGCGTATCACAGGTCTAGACAGATAAAAAATCACAGATGCGTATCACAGGTCTAGACAGATAAAAAATCACAGATGCGTATCACAGGTCTAGACAGATAAAAAATCACAGATGCGTATCACAGGTCTAGACAGATAAAAAATCACAGATGCGTATCACAGGTCTAGACAGATAAAAAATCACAGATGCGTATCACAGGTCTAGACAGATAAAAAATCACAGATGCGTATCACAGGTCTAGACAGATAAAAAATCACAGATGCGTATCACAGGTCTAGACAGATAAAAAAATCACAGATGCGTATCACAGGTCTAGACAGATAAAAAATCACAGATGCGTATCACAGGTCTAGACAGATAAAAAATCACAGATGCGTACCACAGGTCTAGACAGAT